CCTAACCCTAACCCTAACCCTCCCCCCCCCCCATGAAATCACTCGTTTGAATCATTTCCTTTCAGTCCGAGCAGAGTGTGTGCAAGACCCCAGTAAAAATCCTTGAAACGTTCGTGTTTTGTTGTTAGTTATGTTCTGCGTSGCAYAATGCACGTTTGGAACGATTTTGAATTGCTTTTGTTGGGGTCTGACTCTTCCACGTTAATGCGTCTTAGGATTTAGATTTTTSTTYTATGCCCACCTCYCGAGAAACTGCAAAACTGACCAAAATTTTACAACTGTGGAGTGACGCCAGCGTTTTGTGACACATTTTGCTTGACCCTTCGCCTCTTATAGCTTATCATCACATAGTTTGGGCGACAACTGATGACGGATCACTTTTGAACTGAATCTACATAGCAATTCTTCCAAATCGATGAAGTTGGTAACAATGTATCAGTGGTGGTCAAAACAGTAACAGTCAAGGTAAATAATACTTGCTTTATTCTTTCACTTCTATCGCAAGCCAACTATCACTATATCGTGTGATATATGTATGCAAGTAGTACAATAACTTATTAATGAACAATATAAATAACTGACAAAAGAATTTGAGCGAAATTAGCGCTATTAAGCCTAAAGTCTGTCCCCTATTCAGGTATGCTTTATTATAGCAATGAATTCCATGAGAAATAGACTTTTAAAATAGATGAGGTGACGATTTTGGCCGCCATCTTGGACCGGTAGGCATAGTGTCGCAAAATAACAAGGAATGGCCGGGAAATCGATGTCAAATAATTCTCGCTGAATTCAAATTCGGAAAGAATTATTAATTGCAAACGTTNACCAGGTAACTCCTTAATGTTGTATCTAACGTTTGCAATTAATAATTCTTTCCGAATTTGAATTCAGCGAGAATTATTTGACATCGATTTCCCGGCCATTCCTTGTTATTTTGCGACACTATGCCTACCGGTCCAAGATGGCGGCCGTCACCTCATCTATTGATTGTTATTTGCGATGCGAGCAGGCATGGCTGAGGCACACCAACCTTGATGTCTTACTCACTCGTTCTAGTATGTTCATATCATCTTTATTGTCATTTCATAGATCTTGASATCAAACAATGTCAAGTAAAGACTGTCCCGAACCAGCTCTCGATCTTGCTGCACAAAGCARACTGGAAGGGTTTCCAGACAAGAATGCCATGGCAACCAGTCGTTACGYCATCAGTGGCGTCCAAACCGTCCTCCTTATTCTTGGACTGGTTGTKAATTTTATTATCTGTTATGTGATGGTTAAAAGGCGKAAAGTMAAAAAAAACTTGTCCAATTTCTTTCTGTTCAACCTGTCTTTGACCGAACTGTTGCTGTGGCTTGTTGTACTTCCGTTGACAATGATTGTCAGCATGTCCAAGGTACGTGTAATTGTGAAGGTCAGATATGATTTTAGTCAAAACAAACGATTGTTTTTACTGTACAATGTCCTTGACTCGTTGATATTGCAACACTGTCATATTCTGTATTGATTTTAAAATGCGGAGCTCTACGTCATGAGGGATAAATTCATGTGATCTTGCCAGACACTGTAGACTAGCATAGCTTTTTAGTAGTTGGCTTCTGGTTCATTTTCTGATAATGTTTCTCATGTTATCCTACTGTAGGTCCAGTCGACTTTGCCTTGCAAGGTTCTTGCATTCAGCATATTCACGTGTGCTGGAGTCATCTTTGGTTTGTTGACCGCCATTGCCATCGATCGATACATCAATATCATCAACCCTTTGAGGGCAATTGTCATGGAGGAACGCAGTCTYACAGCATTAGCTGTCATTTGGATTGTTGCTATAACAACTTCGACTCCATTCCTCTTTAGCGTAACCATGCGTACTGTATCCATGGAATTTGTATCGTCAGACGTACATGGAGTAATCACTGTGAAGATGTCGATACATCATGGAAGTGACACTATAAGTTATCGCACAACAAATATCACCAATAAAATACAGGCAAAACTGTTAAGAAAGACCGTTGATTTGGGAAACGGAAGTGGCGTAATGAGTTTAAACTCGACTGGCAGTGCTAAGTGCATGTTACCGATGCAGGTTTGTGATATACCAGACAACATAAAAGGACAAGCATCATGTGTAGTGTTCTTCGTGTTGTCGTTCGTGGTTCCTTTGCTGGTGATCTCATTTGCGTACATTAAGATCGTCCAACGACTTTGGCTGAGGTGCCAAGCCACTGATGATCAAGGCACGGCTGCTAAGGCTACTCTTCGTGCAGTGCGTATGCTTGTGTTGGTAGTTTTAGCGTTTTTATTGACAGACGGACCATGGACTGTAGGTAATGATTATATGACTACATTGAAAAATTTATTGTAATTCCTTCTGTCAATTAAACCTGAGCTAACAATATTAATCACGGTGTATGTCTCACCACGTGACTGCGGGATAATCCGATGCAACTTCTCTTTAATTGCATGTTTATATTTGACTCCATG